ACGATGCCATCATTGTAGTGCATACAAATGCCCCCGGGAGTGTGTTTTTTTTTTTTTTTTGTCCTTGTCAGTGTGACAACCCAGAGGAATTTGTATTACAATACAATAATCTGGAGGTAGTAATGCAATTTTTATAATGTGGGACATGATGAGTTGTAGCTGTGTACGTAGATATTAAAAGTTTGGTTTCAATCCATGAATTTATTTGTTTGTTTATTTTTCGCGTTTGTCGATGTAATGATTGAGAAATGTAAAAAACGGATTGGAGGAATACAGGAAGTGGTCTAAAATGAGGAGTTTTAATCGCTCAACCTTGCTCATGAAGTACTGTTTCAACAAGCCACATTGAAAGATGGACTTTCAGTTGGACTGGGTGACCATGCTTCATTGAACCCCGTATAGCCCCCCCCCACCCCCCTTTCTCACAGGAGGTAGCAGAATGGTAATTGGACTGCGGCAGACGCTCACGTGCCTTTACAATCCACACCAGGCAGTTACAAAGTACGTGTACTGCTCACACCCTTGCCTACTGAAGCAAGAAAGACGGAAAAATGATCTGAGAAGCTGACTGTATAACTAAAATAAACGTAACTTTCTTACTCCCTACACTCTTGTCAATGTTAACAGTTTTACACAGCTTGCAAATTCCACTATGAGTTCCAGGCTCCAGTCTTGTCACCCGAGTCTGCACAGATTCTCCAGGGTGGGGGGGGGGGGTATTTGTGGGCATCTGTGGGCTGCCTCTCCACCTGCTATGCACCCTTTGTCATCAGGATCGCCCGCTTCATTTCAATGACAAAGTTGCTGAGCCCTTCATGCAGCACCCCCACTATCCCCTGGAGCTCCTCTTGGTAATGTCATAGTCCCTAAGGTCATTGCATCCCCATCACCCACCTTGTCATTTCCACAGTTTGCGATATAAAGCAGCCAAAAAAGCAAGTCTGCTCCACATTTACTACATGACATTCGAAATAAAATCTACAATAATGTAGACAAGCAATTTTTACTTCCATGATTGAATTAATCCAAGCAGTGATCATTTAGAAAATTTGTCAAAAAAATTTAAACCTGTAATCCTTTTTACACTGCTACAATGTAAAAAACTAAGTATGGTTTTTAAGAGAAATGGATTCAAGCTGATTAATTTTTGAAGTCCGAAACAAATGACAGGTCATCATTGATCAACTAAAATCACATATTTGAAAAAATAAAAATCTATTTCACCCCCCCCCAAGTGTAATCTACAGCAGTGGTTCTCAACTGGGAGGTCGGGACCCAAAAGTGAGCTGGAGACAGCTCGTAAAAAAATTGCATGGGATCGTATTCATATTTTTGTTGTTTTCGGGTACAACCAGTGGCGGGACGTGCATTTCAACCTTAGGCCTTCAGTGACGTCACATACATGAACGCAATACTGTATAGGCTCGTCAAGCAGCACTTAATTTCAGGAGCAATTAAAACCATCAAGTATGCATTCACAATTAAGAGCAGGAAACTTCATTTACAGATACTCAAAAATAAAAAGATGATTTAAAAATACGAAATAAAATGCCACCCAAATTACGCTGTGTGATCTTAAACAAGTCTGTCCAATAAATTGCGCAATGTCGCAGTTTCATATAAGACACCAACCAAACAATAACAAAACAAACTATTCTTTGAAAATAAAGTAAACGGATCATTTGTATTTTGAAAATCGGTGATACAACAGCAAATAACTGACATAACTGACTAACTAATAACTGACTAACAGCTGAGA